GAGAGAGAGAGAGAGAGAGAGAGAGAGAGAGAGAGAGAGAGAGAGAGAGAGAGAGAGAGAGAGAGTGGGGATGTCAGGCATCGTCCATCAGGTGCATATGGTTCGTAACTGTCTAATGGCGCAGAGATGCAGGGGTGAGGAGAGTTGCGGTTCGTCGAGGCCCCGCACGTGCAGTGTCAAGATTCTGGCTCTGAGGAGGAATCCAAGCAGAGGAGCTTAACTCAAGTCCATGTGCTACCAGTTGTACACGTCTGCCTGTGACAAAGCAAAGGCAAGGCAGGTCAGAGACGGAGACCTCTGACATGCAGATCGCTGCAAGCTGTTATCAGGTCATCCCAGCCATGAAACTAACATCAGATTCTCCTTTCTTCACTCATTCGTCAAGCTGCTGCATAATATCCATTACACATACGCACGCCCGAGGGAGGTGGTGCTGTTGGTTCGAACTCAAGGCAATCTGCTGTCGACTGAACACCACAAGTCTTCCTGCGGGAACGCTAAGCCAAAGCAGGTCAGAGACAGAGGCCTCGGACACGCAGTTTGCTGTCGGTTGGCAGCAGCCAATCGCAGCCATGAAAGTGACATCTCCTTTCCTCGTTTGTCCATCAAGCTGCTGCATGTACACCCCCCCGAAGGAGCTACTGCTGCTAATGCTGGTTGGAACTCCCGTAAAGATCCTGCCGACAATCCCCAAGTCTTTCTGTGACAAAGTCAAGCAAAAGCAGGTCAGAGAGAGCGACTTCTGACACCCACTTTTCTGCAGTTTTCCGCAGTTTGCTTCACTTTGCTTCAGCTTGCTGCAGTTGGCTTCCGTTTGCTGCAGTTTGCTGCTTGAGCTTGCCGCAGTTTGCTGCCTCAGCTTGCTGCAGTTTGCTTTTGTTTACTGCAGTTTGCTGTTTCAGTTTGCTCAACTTTGCTGCTTGAGCTTGCTTCAGTGTGTCGCAGTTTCCTGCAGGTTGCCACTTCAGTTGGCTGCAGTTTATATAACTTTGCTGCTTCAGTTGGCTGCAGTTTGCTGCTTCAGCTCGCTTCAGTTGGCTTCAGTTTCCTTCAGTTTGCTGCTTCAATTTTCTGCTTCGACTTGCTTCAACTTGCTACAGTTTGCTACAGTTTGCTACAGTTTGCTGCAGTTCGTTTCAGTTCGCTTCAGTTTGCTGCAGTTCGCTTCAGTTCGCTTCAGTTTGCTTCAGTTTCCTTCAGTTTGCTTCAGTTTCCTTCAGTTTGCTTCAGTTTGCTTCAGTTTGCTTCAGTTTGCTTCAGTTTGCTTCAGTTTGCTGCAGTTTGCTGGTGCAGGGTTGGCTGCAGGCAATCGCAGCAGCCATGAGAGTGACATTCCCTTTCCTAGCTCGGCTGCACCTTGACCCTGCGGAGGAACTCCTGACTGCTCAAGCACTGCAGGTGGTCTGGACTTTCTTCAAGCTGCTGGATGTCCATGAATGCAACATCATGGAGGACGTGGTGTTTGAGGCCTTCATGCGGCTAAGCACGGACCTAGATCTTCGTCAGATCCGCCTCGTTTTCACAATGTTTGATGTTGACAACAACGGTTTCATCGATTTCGATGAGTTCTATCTTCTCTGCTGCATGCTGATTGCCATGAAGGACTGCCGAGAGCGCAACTTTATGAGCAGCCATGCATTGACATGCTTCAAGCTGCTGGATAACGATGGGAGCGAGAGTCTCACCATCGAGGAGTTTGAAAGGTTCGGCTTTGTGTTCAATATGGACAAATCCATTACAAGACACTTCCTGTCCGTCAGAACTAGAAGTTTAGAACAACTCTGTGTGTGTGTGTGTGTGTGTGTGTGTGTGTGTGTGTGTGTGTGTGTGTGTGTGTGTGTGTGTGTGTGTGTGTGTGTGTGTGTGATATAGATTTTCCCCACAACAGCCCCAATTCCACCCAGGTGAATAGATTCAGAATCAGAGCAGTCTTTATCCTATTACAGAAAGCGAGAGCATTTGAGATGTCCAACATATTAAAGCAATTTTATAATTAGACAGTTTTTTGGTTGTTCTTGGGGTACCCCTTTCATTGTTCTTGCAGCTCCCTTTTTACTGTGCCTCTTACGCGCAAGGCTGCCCACGTTGATTGTGGTTGAGCGGCAGCTGCCCACATCACCGTGTGCCTCCACGGCCCACTTGCACGTTATTTCAGGGGGCAGAGTAAAAGGGAAGGTATGCTCCTGTGCATCTCTTCAGAGCTTCATACTCCTGTCCATTTCATTTCAGATCTTCAGCTTATTCAGCCTTTGTGTCCGTCCTCCATCTTCATACTTCCGTTCATTTCATTTCTGATCTTCATATCGTCTATACTCTTAATGATGCTCATTCGTATGTATTTGTTAGTAGTACAAAGGGAGTGGAGGGGAGGGTGGAGGGTAAGGGATAGAAGGCGGAGTTCTCTAGGAGTATGGGGCAGGGGAGGTAGGGCCAACGGGAAGGAAAGAAATATGTGGAGGGCAGGATAGAGTGACATGCAAGAGCAGGGGAAAGGTGTATGACGGGTCTCACAGATTTCTAAATATTCACCACTGTGAGTGGCCACCCCTACAGACCGGACAGGACCGGTTCGGGTGTGGACTATGGAAGCACCGCATCCAATTTTCACAGTCACAGTTGCTGCATCGAATGGCACGACGCAGACAGATGTCACAGGCTACGTGGCTCGTACATGATAGGAACACACAGGCACGTCGACAGCAATTATAGAGGCATTGCCATTCCAGCCCCTGTCTACAAATTGGACATGACATGTCGGGGTGCCGTACATGAGTACAGTACTGACTGTCATCGTACGTATGGAAGCAAAAATTYGCATGGACTATACCTTCATAATCCTCACGGCACAAGGCATGTGAACCACATGCTAGTTGAATCTCCGGCGGGTCATCACAAAACGGCATGGAGCATCTTTCTTGGGCTTCCTCAGTATGTATTCCTTCTTTGTGACAACGACAGGGAGGATCGGTCCAACGCAAGGGCATTCAGCTGCTGCAGGCAACAGCCCGCCCTGGTGGTGATAAACTATGAGCACATCGCTCTGTCGGTGGCTCATATAGAAGTCTATTTTCCTCCTCAGACTGCTGTGTTCGCCGTTCGTCTGGCAAGAAAGAGGGAGATTCATCAACGGTTGCCGTAGGTGTATGACCAATGCCGCATGTGGGACATGCTAGGAGAGGATGTGGAGGATGATGGCACCGGGTATAGTCCATGCAGTAAAGACATGCTTTCTCTGACAGCTTCCTGGAAGCATTGACGACACATGGCATGTTGCTGACATGTCATTAGTATGGAAGGCTGACGTGCACAGTTATTTAAGCATGGCAGGTCAAGGCCACAACGGCATGCTGGGCAAGTAATCAGGGGGTGGGGGGGATGAGCACAGGACTGGGGATCACAATTTTCGTGTGAGAGGCTAGCAGCGACCATGAGAGAGGGGCGGGTCAGGTGGGTGAGAACTGGGTGGACCAGATGTGGGAATCGGAAGCTGATCGGCCTCACTTGTGCTTAGGGCGGCTGCTAGTCGTGCAAACGCTGCGCAAGTAGCTGCACCTCGTGTCTGGTGCACTCGTAAGCCTGCAGCACTGAAGAAATCATCGCTGCATTGCGGGCATCGGGCTCGATGCTAGTGTATACTGAAAGCGATGATGTTGTTCCATACGGTTGCGAGCAAGTGTGTGTGTGTGTGAGTCTCTCTCCCCCCCCTTTGTTGCAGTGCTGATGGTGGAGTGGAGGTGGATTTTTTTTGGGTGCAACGTCATTGGGATCTCAATTAGACTGCTGTGAGCCATAAACCTCCCTGCTTATGAATCCTGCAAAGCCAACAGCTACCCATTTGAAGTTCTATGACATGATGGTACCCATTTGAAGTTCTATGACATGATGGTACCCGTATGTTGTCAACGAGTTTGTCAGTTCAGTTGGCCCATTGGTTGGTTGGCCCATTGATCAGTTCGTCTGTTGGGTCAGCAGGTCAGTTGGTCAATTGGTCAGTTGGTCAGTTGGTCAGTTGATTGGATGGCTGGTTGGTTTGTTGGCTGATTGGCAGTTTTTCACAACTTTCAATTTTCAACTTGTATGACCTTCTGAAACGTATGTTATTGCCAGATTGGCTGGTTGGCTGCCCCCCTGGCGGGTTGATTACTATGATTAGTTGGTTCAAACTTCAAACTCAGCTGACCAGAACTTGATCATTCGCATACAATTCTCAAGTTGTACGACAAAAGCATATGTTTAGTTACTGGTTGGTTTGATTGGTTGGTCAACTGGTCGATGGGCCGTCTCTCTCTCTCTCTCTCTCTCTCTCTCTCTCTCTCTCTCTCTCTCTCTCTCTCTCTCTCTCTCTCTCTCTCTCTCTCTCTCTCTCTC